GTCCTCCGCCTCGGGCCGCTCCTTCTCGTACCACACGCGCCACTCGCGCTCGTGGTCCTCGATCTGCGTGACAACAGCGCGCGAAGTCACTTCGCAGGTTGTTTCTCGAACAAAAGAAATTAATTGAACGAAATGAACGAAATGAATAAAAGGAGGAAGGAAAGAAAGAAAGAAAGAAAGAAAGAAAGAAAGAAAGAAAAAAAGAAGGAAAGAAGGAAAGATAGATAGAAAAGAAGAAATGCGGAAGAAAAAATAAAGGAAAGAGTCGTTGGCAATAACGTGAATCTGTGCCATGATGGAAGAAGTGCCAATATTCAAATTTTACAAAATGGGTAGTTTTCTTACACAATCGAAATGACAAAACAATTGTTGACCAATGTTTTTCAATTTCAAATTAGATTGGGTCGTTTTTGACTTTCGACTTTTTTTGGAGGGAAAGAATAGGTTTTAAAGAACACATTGGCCTTTTAAACTAAAAATCACTAAAAAGCGATATTGGTCCTTCTTGCACCAGACCACGGATATAATTTTTTTGTTAACGTCTGACGTCCAGAAAATTTTAGTCCATAAAATCCAGAAATTTTAGTCAGAGTAGTTCAGCCACCAGGGTGACCAATACTATTCAAGTATGTTATTGATGCCTACTTGTCTTTCTTGCTGCGTATTCTATACAATATAATGCAATAAATGATAAGGCGATTTACGAAATGCAACACAGTGTTATCCTGACTTGGAAAATTTGGAGAACTAACACTAAATGTAGGACGTCGTGCTTCCTAGGCTCAATCAAACAGAAATCATTTCACAGAGAGTTTGTTTCTTCATTGATTCTCTTGTACGCAAATACGTGAACAATAGAAATAATATAAATAACAAAGTGAATAATAGAAAAATAGATGAATTAAAAATGATATGATATGAATGATGAAAAATAGATGTTATTAAAGTAGTGTAAAGTAGAAAATGTTTCATTGTATATTTATTGTTTATTATGTTTCTATTATATTTATAGAAGGATTCCATTTTATCAAATTGAACTCAACCAATTTGCATCTCAACTAAGTCTTAACCATTTTCATATAAGAGATTGGAGTGCTAATATGAACACACCTGGACTAGAATGTCTGAGAATACATTTAGTTTACTAATCTCCACCAAGTTGAGCCACGTAATGTCGAGGATCCAACGGAAAGGCTTAGGCTGCACCGCATTCAGATCTAGCGAAGCCCCACCTGCAGAAGGCATGGAGACACCAGTAAGCAAAACAACAAACAAAATAATGTACATAAACATGATATGATGACAAATATATATTGACATATCACTAAAACACACGGCTAGATAAACCACTATACTACCTTATTAAAGCACAAGTCACAATGCATGTGAAAATGGGTTAAACAAAAGCTATGAATAATTCATTTCAGATAATATACAATAACAGAACCCATCGATTGAAACATATTTGCCATTAAATTTTACATCAAGTTTCAAGGGCATGAAAACAACAATGAAATGTGGCTATATTTTAATTTTTGATGCACAATTTATTCACATGGGAATTCAGAACGTTTTGTTGACACATTTACCGAATATGTTAATATTTTGAAACATCTAGAATAAACTTTGAATTGACATTAAAAGTGGAAGAACACATCGTTGTATACCTCAGTATAGTTCAAACTATGAAGGAAGCAAAAGCAAAAATTGCAATGTTGCGAAAATAAGTTAATGATTAATTAATACGAAAAAAGATGTTCATTGAAAACATCTAAATCTAAAATGGCAATATAAGCATGTACGATACACTAAGTAACGCAAGATTTTTGTCATCTGTTGCGAATTTTGAGCGAGATGGAGGGTTTCCGCGGACCTTTGATGAAGGCGTTGAACTCGTCGTGGGAGATGATGCCCTTGTGGCAGTCGATCTTCATGGCGAGCATCAGCGTGAAGAGCTGCTTGTGGCGCTCGTACAGGCTGCGCAGGGTGAAGTTCCACACCTCGGCGGTGAGGTAGTCCAGGATGTTGGTGATGCGCTCCTCCGTCACGCTGCTCTTGGTGGACCTGCGCATGCGCACGCCAGGAAATAACCATGCTACTCATATCAACGCGAATGCTGATGAGTCTTGCACGTGAGAAGGGAAAAGGCCTTCATGTCCTTCCCAATTTGTAGGCAGGTGGTTGCAAGGTGATTTGCCATTGCCTTTCACTGGAGAGATGATGGAATAATCGCGAAAAATGAATGATTGAGAGATATGAATGATCGCGAGGTGAATGATCACTTTATTGATACCAAGTTCGAGTAGAAATGAATGAATGTGAGAGATGAATGATCACGAGAGGTGAATGATTATGGACACGATGCTTTTAGACGAGGTATACGATAATGTGTATTCTTGGCTATCCGGGATGAGCCACATCTCGGATCTATCAGCAGTATAGCTCTGAAGAAGGCCACAGCAAGATGGCCGAAACGTTAGTCTAATTAACTGAGACGCGGCTCATCCCGGATAGCCAAGAATACATTGACTCTGGCCGTGGAAGCCTACGAATCCATATACGATAATATGATCACGCCTTCCTGGGGACGCGAACCTTCAGCATTCGGTTCCAAGTGCCTTTACATTTGGTCGTGTTTGTCAGAAAATAAATGTACTTAACGTTTCTACAATATTAATGTTTTATGTTATGACATTTACGAATTTGTTCCCAATGACTTATTACATTAAATTAGCATTTTTATTAGGTAATATATAGTGTTTTCGATCACTTCAGTTCTTTGATTTCTTGACACAATTCTGCTAAGATTGCATGCAGAGCCTTCTCAAATGACATCATGATAGGAGAACATCAAAAATACAGAATATTCAATATGCAGTAACCATAATGCAAATACCGTAACGCAGTAGGAGCGGGAAGAGAAGCAATAGGAAATGGAAGAGGAGAGGGAAGAGGAGAGGGAAGAGGAGAGGGACGAAGAGGTGAGGGAGGAGGTGGAGAAGGAACAGGAGTGGGAAGAGGAAGGGGACGAGAAGTGGAAAGAGGAGTTAAAAGAGAAGTGGAAAGAGGAGAGGGAAGAGAAGAGAGAAGCGAGAGAAAATGAGAAAGAAAGCGTGACGGAAGAGGCGCTGCTAGCTTTGTGATAGAGAGGAAATGAGGGGTAAAGGAATCTAGTGTAAGAGAAGTGGCACGTGGGCCACAGGCACCGACTTAATTTTTTTTTAATTTGAGCACACCTTGTTTAAATCGTGATTCAAACGCAGGTTCAATCGTAGGCTTCCGCAGCCAGACATGTGAAGGCCCTGGGCTCTCCGAGTGGCGCTGCGTCACCCGGGCAGCCGAGAGCCTTCCAAAACCGTGTGTGATTTAAACCAGCCCACCCTGCCGCAACGCCCAAAAAAGACTGCGTTGCAGGCGAGAGGCCACGCACTTGGTGATGGAGTTGTCGAAGATGTTGAGGAACTGCTTGAGCGAGTTCTGGTACATGGCGTTCACGTTGCTCATCTCGACGATGAGGAAGTAGAGCAGCGAGCCGCGCGACGCCACCGCGCGGAACTCCTCGCGCGCCACCGTGATCTTGCGCTCCGTGTGCGCCGCCACCTTCAGCTTCTGGTTCACCTCCTCCGCCGTCGTCTTCGTCTCCTGCAGCACCTGGATCAGCGCCTCGTCGTCCACCAGCGACCCCTGCGCGCACGCCACAAGCCAAGTCAGCCGAGCGAAACATTGATGTCACACTGTCGAAATATTTAGGTATATTCTTTGTTAATAAATTTGAAGTGTCTCTGCGAAATAGCTGTCTTTTTATATCGCCGTATTATTATCTATGTGGTACAAAACCCATTCAATTTGTTTTTATGTTTTGTCTGCCTCTGGTGAATCGCCTAATCTCGGGAATGACGAAACCGATTTTGATGGGGTTTGAAAGGGAGATAGTTTCAATAATTTAATCCACTTTTTACATTTTTTATTTATATTCCATTTTATATTATAATTATAGAGACTAATGTTTGTTTCTTCGTTTCTTAATAAAAGCATATAGTATTATTCCAAATGAAATTTTGCACTATTTACCTTCCAAACAAGAAGATCACTTGTACATGCATATCTGAAAAAAGCACACATTTACTTTCTCGACCCTTAAAGACGATTTTAAGAGCGCGTTGCTTCATTTTTCGCAAATGTCGTGAAAACGACGATGAAAATTGTGACTGGAAGTTTATAAAAAACTAGAAAATTTACGAATACATGCATTTTGATTCATCCAACTAGCAAATTCAAATGAGATGGGGTTGGGGAACGTTTTAGGAAGACGGGGCGGGAGGCAGGGGTACGAAACCTGTGATCGAGCGGAGAGAGGGCGGGACCTGAAGTGGATGGATGGATGAATGCGGTGTGGGGAGGGTTGAGTCTTCAATACTGGATCGCTAGCTGTCAGCAATCATTCACGCTCGTCGACAAGTTTTCGAGGTCTGCACTATCCACTTGGTTGTTTAGTGATACCGGACACTTTCATTGCTAAGGTCAGTAGTCCCATGAGTGTAGTGCATGTTTTTATCGCTAGAGGTGGTGGTGGAGGTAATCTTCCCCCGCTGGATGGCGAGATCCGGACTGACGACTTGCGGGGTATTCCCCAACTAGGCATCTCTCACCAGCGGGGCACCGACCCGGCCGAAACAAGCTTTTAGCTCCTGGCTGATCTTCCGGCGTATGTGGTAGTGCATGTAAGTGTAAGAGTGTGTAAGTGATGAACATAGGACAAGTAAGAGGTAAGAAAGATCGCGCGCGAACCGTGATCCGTTTGTTCGGGTACTTCTCCGGCATTCGCCTGGTGTTGATCGGAGAAACCATGGGAATCTACTGATCAGAGCAGACGGCAGCTAGAATTCTCCTCCAGTCAGCCTCTGAATTCGACGTAGCTATGTAGCATGTATCGAAACTCATGCCACTGTCGCATGACTCGAATCTAGTCAGAGGCATTGCATGGTCGTCAATTGGTGCCCTTAGCCACCTAAGCCGGTGCATTACTCGAAGAAGTGCTAAAATAGCAAATGCGTGTGGAGAGAGTTGGTTGCTTACCTGCGAGGAGGTGAGGCGGCCCAGCAGGTTGCTCTCCAGCTCCTTCATGGAGCGCTGGTTGCGCATCACTGACTCGAACAGCGCCACGCGCTCCGCCTCCAGGTCCGACTTCTCCATCAGGATCACGCGCCCTGCCAGCAAGCGTCGTGGCCACGTGCACATTGGAATTACAAGCAAGACACCGAAATTGCTAATAGTTATTGGGGGAATTAATTATTTTATACTTATATAGATGTCATTATTAAACTTCCCGAAAACCGACTTATCAAAAACAAGCACTGTATCTATTTCGAAATACTGGATAGGCTTGAATTAAATCGCGTAATAACGATGTACCAAAATACGATGCGCTGGTACTGAAGAAAATTTATGGCAATTTGTTACTATATGTAGTGGCGGTTAAGCTTACGCCCCTCGCCATTTCGCCCGCCAGGCGCTACGTCGCCACGACAGACGGCACAGCCGGCAGCGCTGGAGCGGCGGCAGCGTTTGGGGCTGCGTGCGTCCCCCCCTCCCCGCGCCATCCTCTTGCACGGAGCCCGGGCGGGCCCTCGCTCACTGGGGGATCGGCTTCCTTGCGGAAGATTGCTTTGCGTGCCCTGTATTGACTGTGTTTTGACCCGGCTGTAATTTTGTGTTTCTCTTCTGGACTTTGGTTTGAACCTGGTTTAGTTTTCGTACATCCTCTGGTTATCGGTTATCTGGCTTGTAACAGTACTATTTTGGATACTGGACTCAATAAATGTATTTGACTGTGCATGTGTGAGTTTATCTTTCCCGGTCACATCACTATTAATTAATCAATTTGATTATAAATTAACCAATTATCTAATATAAATCTGTTAAATAAGTATATTACTGTCTGAATATTTCATTATTTTGACTGTATCAAAAATGATAAATATTATTGGCAATATTTTTGACATATGAAGTACAATGTGACCAGTGGCGTCCCTGGGAATAGACATCAGAGAGGGCACATACAGTCGCAGGACCAAATAAAGTTGGGCATTTGAAAAATTGTTATATTTGGATTAGTGATGTCACATAAGTAATATTTCCAAACCAATTATCTCCGAGGAAGACTGTCTAAACAAAGGATCTATAAATTAAATTTAGTCTTCTGTTTTTAGATTCTGAAAAATTATCTATTACTAATTCCCTAAAATTAACCGAACAAATTCGTAACAAAACTCTTTCCATTGATAACAAATAGAGGGTATTCAATCTCTCTTCCAACATGGTATTTCTTAAAAAGTCTTTACTCTTTTCAAAGTGGAAAAAGCTTTCTCGGAATCTACAGTTGCCATTGCAGTTGAATAAATGACTTTCAATAGCTTAACTGATTCAGAAAACAACAATAAGTTATTATTAACTAACATTTCCTAAAGTGGTAAAATTTCTTGGACACAGCCTAAGTCAATCCTTTTATATAGCACATTCAGCTCAGATTTCAGTTTGCAAGCTCCCACAAACGAATAGAACTGTAAAACGAGATCAACGTTTGTTGGGGGAAATTTTCCTGGTATTGTTGAAACATTATACAGTCAAAGAGAGAACAAAAGGTCAAATGCCCCGTAAAATTAAGACGGTCATTATCCCCTATAATAATTACATCACATACTTCAAGAGCTGGCATTCTGCAGTCCTCAATCTTCCTTCTTTTACCTTCACATTTGTTTTCTGAATATATATGTCCATGACAGAGTAGATTGTCTCGTATCTTTTGAATGTTGTTCGTGAACTCATTTACATTATCAATAACTTGGAAAGAACCAACAACTCTCTTTTAGATCTGGTTACATAAAATTTCAACATAAGGCATCATTTTGCTAAAAAAAACGTAATCCAAAATAAGAATTTGTAATCTTTCCACAAATTTAGCAATCCTACAGCCTTTCTAATTGTATTGTTGTCCTCAGATTCTCCATCAATTATCTCACAACATTGAATTAGATCACCTTTGTGAGCATAAACAACAAGAACAATCCTGCTCTGAAAAGACCAACGAATATTTGGTCCATGGGGGAGACGTCTTTTCACTACACTGTTTAACAGTCATTCGTTTGGATGAACGTGAAAAGAAAGCAGCAAATCCTTCAAGACTAGAAAAAACAATTGTGGCCATCTTGTTTTGGGAAGCACATTTTGATACTATTAAATTCAACTGGTGAGCATAGCAGTGATCGAACTGAACAGTTCCCCGACATCACTGATGCTCCATCATAACTCTGACCAATTAATTTGAGAACTTTTAATGCAATTTCAAAAGCTGAAGCTGCTCTAAAATACTCAGAATGATACTCTCAGATGTGTGAGCCTTTGGGACTATAAATCCTCAAAAGCGTTCGTAGATTTTATTGTCGTGTACATATCTGATTACCAGTACCAATTGATTTTAATAAAGACATCAGTAGTTTCATTAGCCTGAATTGCAAAAAATATGCATTTCAACTTCCCGTAATATTAAAGAACGTCCAACTAGCAATATTGTATCAAGCAATTCATTTTGCACAACCTTTGATGTGCCTAAGAAACCACTTTTATTTTCGGTCAAATGTTTCTTCAAAATATTGTCAACGTCACTCAACAAATTTATCAATCTACGGTACACACCCGGGAGGTGAGGAATTAGATCCATTGTGCCCTCTTAACGCAAGCTCGAAAGAATTCAGTCATTTCTCCCACAGTGCAGTGGGAGAAATACTGATCTCAGTAGGAGAGGGACACTGCCCCTAGCGCCTCTCTGCAGCAGTCACCACTGAATGTGATGAGGGATAAAACAATATTTTTTGCCAAAAAATTGCCGTAATTTTGCCAAAAAAGTATTACTATAATATGTGTATGTAATATAGACTTCGAGTACTTAACAAGACTTCGTAAAAAACTCACCGAGCAGTTGGTCTTCAAGACCTTGCATGGTGACAGTAAAGTCGATAATTGAAGTCTTCGCAGAGATTTCTGGTGAATAGGCAGGATTGGGCAATTTGGTGGTGATGTAGAGAAGAAATCCAGGCATTACATCACACTCCTTGTCGCCGACAACCACCTACAACAAAAAATATTCTTTGATTGCTAGGACATATGGGTTTACTTTCATGCCTAAGTGTGATGATTACACGAAAGTTTAAATGTCGGTGAAATATCAAACATAAAGTAATTTATGTATTATATTAGGCAATTTTAAATAAAGTATGAACTTTAAAATCTTTCATTGGAAAACATGTAAAAAGATACAAAGCAACGAAATTGTTTACTGATTCCTCTTTTTTGGTGTGGGTGGGTACCTTCTCGATGGAGCCCGACTTGATGAAGTTCTTCTCGAGCACGTTGTCGATGACCGGGTCCAGCTCCTCGCCCACGTCCTCGATGAGCAGCGGCCGCCCCAGCGAGAGCGCGTCCTCCAGGTGCGTGCGGAAGTACTTGTGGTGCAGCGACGTGATCTGCAGCTCGTTGCCGGCCTCCTTGTGCTTGATCCAGAGCTTGCCCTGGCTCTGCGGGTCCACCAGCAGCGGGTACGACGACGACTTGGTCACGATGAGCGCGTTCTGCACCGACAGCTCGTCGTTGGGCAGCCCCTGCAGCGTCCACTCCGACACCTGCACACATGTGCTCAGCATGTTTTCATTTGCTCTTATATATATATGTATATACGCAATGCTTTGAATTTTGATTATGAAATGCTTTAAATGTTCTACATTCACTCACTCTTTTTATTTTGAAAATTTTTTATGAGAATATGATTTATGTTTTTTGTTGGTTTTTATATATAAATTCCCTGCACAAGCAGGAAGCCCTTGCTCTCAACGGGATAATAATTATAATAATAATTATAATTAAATATTCAATCGCTTTGTAGCGGTGTAGCTACGCATTGTCGTGGTGTAGCCCTGATTTCTGAAATACATGTCATTAATATTGAACGTAATGTATTTGTAGTTTGAATTTTCCAATAAAGTGTAAAGTCTATTTGTGGTTCAAAATTTCTTAACTTTAATATAATTGCTTACGATAAGCATCTCTCGTCAGTGTTGTTAATCCTCATGTATGATGAAACACAAAAATCGTATTTTAATATTTTATTGTTTTACATTATTAATAAATTTATTCTTTAAGATTAAAATTTCTAAAATTATTCCAATAATTAGGGTCTCATGTAAGATTAAATATTTGTCTCAACAAATAATAAGAATGTAAGGTAATGTCGCAAGCGGTAGACTAATTATTATAAAATTAGTAACAAATGTTATTAGGGAGGAAATACAATTCGTTCAGTGTACTCATGTGTTCCAATGACATGTAAGTGAGTACTTACCGTGGCGGAATCGACGAGCATGTGCGTGATATTGAGGCCGTGAGTGAACGGAATTACGCGCACTTCCAAGATACTCATCCAGCTGTTAACCAGGCCCGCGCGGAACTCCTACGGACATTTTGAGGAAGTAGTTTATTAAAACACTCAAACAATGATCGGATTCATTGGATAGCTGGTCAGAACGTGTAAATTAGAATTCAAATTGGAAAGAAAAATTGTAATAACGAAATAAGTAAGCAATTCGCAACGGATTTTACTTTTAGGTGAGTTCCTTCCAAGATGAAAGTCAATAGAGAACAAAGGAAACATAAAAATTGCGAAAGGTACACAATTTGTATTCAAGTTATGTAGCAATTGACCACTGTCCAATAATTTCATGTTAATAATTTAAAAATTTTGTGATGCATGCGTTTAACGTGTTCTTGTCTTGTTGAAAACTCTCCTGTGCGAGGAAACGTGGATGATGTGTGGTTTTAAGAGGAGAACGATAATAAAGTGAGAGAACTCGACCCTAATGGTTACGCAAGTAGTGCCAAATTAATGCATTTTTAAGGCATTCCTCGCCTCTGCGGAGACTAGGGGAACAAGTGTAAACGACCCCCAAGAGGCGTTTCGTCGAAACTACAGAGACGAGGTACGCCTTAGAAAGGTATTATCACGCCGCAGTGAAAATTAGTAGAGAGAAAGAAGAAATTTGAATTGAGAGAGAGAAAACTAATGAAAAGAAGATAGACATATGTGAATGTCAAGTACAGCAACCGTGCACTTTCTAATAATTTCACTCTAAAGCTATTGAAATGGTGTGTGTGAGATCAGTACTCGTTTGATTTATTAACTGATTGATAGTTTCAGTCATTTTTTGTTGTTTCCGGACGCGTCAACTACTAAGATAATTAGTCCCGTAAGTGCAGTTAATGCTTTCCTAGGGAGGTGACGATGATCATCCCTCACTGGATGGTGATATCCGGCGCAGATCGGCTAACAGGGTTTTCCCCAACCAACACCCCAACCATCAGCAGAGCCCCACCCCAGACGGGACAAGCTCTAAGCTCTTGGCGAGTGGTAATGTAGTTCGTGTCAGTGCAAGAGGTGTGTACATAATGGGCGAGGATAGGGCAAGGAAGAGGAAAGAAAAATCACGGTCAATTCATGGCCCGTTTGTTAGGGTACTACTCCGGCACTCGTGAAATATTGGTCAGAGAAACCACAGAAAACGTTCCAACAGTGCAGATTTTCCCTCCAGACAGCGGCTGAATTCGATATAGGTATGTAGTAGTATCAAAAATCCTGCCACCGCCAGGGCTAGACCCGTAGGACTTCCCTGTTAGAGGCAACCAGGGTCATCATGAAATGGAGCACTCGCCTGGTTGTAGGGCCCGCAGTAGGAGAGGAAGCCCGTGGCGAGCAGCACGTCGCCGACGAGGCGGCCCAGCTGCTGCTTGAAGTCTCGCGACTGCTCCGTCCAGCGCACCTTCTCGCCGCCCAGGCCGTTGATGAGCGCCGTGGCCGCCGTCATCTTGCGCAGGCACACGTTGGCCGCGTCCGTCAGCCGCTGCTTCTCGCTCACCGCCGCGTCGTACTGCTCCTTCACCTCCTGCAGCGCGCGCTCGCGGTCCGCCAGCTGCTCCTCGGCGCGCGCCAGGTCGTCCATCGCCACCTTCAGGCGCGCCTCCTGCAGCGTCAGGTTCGCCTACGCACACACACAGGACAATTCCTTAGTGGTGTATTCACGTTCTCGGTTCTTCATCACAATCTTCAGCGTTGTCTCTTCTTCAGTACTGTCGCAGTACCCTTGAAAAGGTTTAGTAAAAATTAATACAACACAAAAGCGGAAAATAATTAATTTAAATAATATGTTGGTAGATGCACCACGATCATTATTGCTCGCCTGTTGCGAAAAGTAGATTGGTTCCTAATATATTCTGACGGAGGCCAGTAGCAGTGATGGGAATGGTTCCTAATATATTCGCCAGAGGCCAGTAGTGGTGCTTAGAGGAAAAATATCTACTGTACTGTAAAATTAAATGGAAGGAAATTTAAATATTTAAAAAAATTAAAGCAATTACATTTAAAAAAATTCTAAATGTTGTGGTTTAAATAATACTGATCTTTCTTCTCTTACACAAGGATTGAATATGAAGAAGTTCCGGACAACATCGGTTATTTTGCTATTGTTTAATATTTTTCGTAATACTGTCCATTAATGTATGTGCATAACTCAATCCCATATAGGAATGAAAAGGTAATCTTAATGGCCGCCGTTAAGAAATTAACAAACCAAATGATTTTTTAACTATTATATTATTAACTATTATAATATTAACTATATATTAAAGTTAGAAAACAGACAAGAAACAACATACGTAACATACTACCTACAAAAGTAATTTTCAACTGTATATAGAGTGAATACATTCAATTTTTTGTGCATTTGAGTATAACTAGCACTCTGTTGCTCATAGTGTCTATATAAATAGTCAACGACACAAATTCGTCTCGTCTCGAAATGGGACACGGGGCAAATGAGATAAGGGGCAAATGGATAAAGGGGACAAATGAAAGATGGAGCCGAAATGGGACAAGTGGCCAAAATGGGACAGGGGAACGAAATGAACCAAGGGGACAAAGTGGGACCAGGGGGAGAAAATAAGATGGGACAAAGGGAGAAAATGAGACAATAGGACAAGGGGATACCCTCAAAATATAAAAATTACAATAACTTTTTTAAGTCGCCGTTTGTTTCCAGTTAACATTTTCTAAATGCTCTTACGGTTGCTCTTACTTAATCTTGGTTTTCTTGTAAATGTCGCGTCTGAATCGTATAGATTTGAAATGGAAGATGGTGTTACACTCCTACGTGTTAAAAGCAGTGATGTTTCTTCTTTATATTATTTTTTCTTACAAGAAGATGGTATTACGAAAAGTATTGAACGACACACGGCCGACATTACAAATAACAGACTTGGTTGGTGTTTATCGGCCTAATGACGTTAATAACTATAGCAACGCATTGTCTACAAGCGGCGCTCCCGCACGCACCTTGAGCGGAAGAACTTCCTTGTTGACAGAGTGGAAGAAGGCCATGGCCTTGGTCCAGGACAGCAGCCCGGCCACGTCGCCGCACACGCGCTTCGCCGTGTCCATGTTGTAGTCCTCCATCTCGAAGTACGGCTGCAGCAACTCCACCATCTCGTTGTTGATGGTGTCCTTGGGGAAGTTCTGCAGCTGCAGTAGAAACGTCGTGCTCGCCATCATCTGTGCATCATAATTGTCAAGATTTAGCCACGGTATGATTTAGGTTATATGAAAAAAATATTTCAAAAGAAATTTTGTATATAAAAGTGAATTTTTACGATTAAATGATCACACATACAACACAACAGTAAATCAGATATTAACGGATAATAACAAAATCAACTGTAATGAATCGCTCAGAATAGAATACTAATGTCTAAACAAATCGTCCGTCCACATTGGCAAGTATAAAAGAAATTACCTTAAGAGATACCACTGTAATATTCCGTACAGCTTTTTCTTGTTTTAATCGTTTCTCATTACAAGTATAGCGTATTCTCTGAGTGGAAAAACTGAGAGAAGAAAATTTCAACATAATAATTCTAATGAACATGGAATGCAAACCAATCAATTCTTAATGTTCGGTTTATTCACGACAAGTCTAGCCATGATTTAGCAAAGAAAAAGTGCACAATTTGGGGGATTATCAGTTATTTACCAAACTGAATTCCGAAGAGTCATTGTCTCAATCCAATGCCAAAAATATAAAAATACACGAACAAATTAATGAATCACAAAATGAACTAGGTCGCCAAATATTCGCGAAAACCCAAGCAAAGTCGAATTGAACCATAGTACAGTCGAATTGAAAATGGCGATGCAGTACAGCGAAACGCACCAGTTCGTTCTTATTCGCCTCTATATTTTTGTATTTCTAGGTTATTCTACGCTTAAACTACGTCTCTCCGGGCTTTAGCGCTTTGTCTTGAAAATAACACCTCACTTATTCCGTTCTCACGTTTTTCCATGTTTGTTCGTAGGCGTTTTCACAATTCTCGGCTTAAGCACAGAATACAATTTACGCCACGTTTATCAGTAAGGACGTTAACAATCAAATAACTTTAAACAACATGAAATGGCTATGTATGTATATAATAATCTCATAAAAGCGACGTCATTGGCAGAGAAATGACGACAAATTGTTCAAATGTGGTGAGTGATAATATATTTTACAGGAATAGTGGAAAACCAAAAACCTATTGGCAAAATATTGATATCTTGCCTACGACGTCATAAATCATAAACATTCATGTGATGATTCAACTACAAGAGAGTCAATTTGTATATACGAGTCTAAAATTGGTGGAAGCAGAAATAACCTCTCGTACCACATTCCACCCCCACCCCCACCCACAGCTACAATCACACACACACACACATATATATATGAAACGAAGAACTTTTCTGTATTTAGAACAATTAATTGATCACTAATTATAATTCAAATAAGTACTGGAGTTGATCAGCGCAGTAACGCCGCCGCCGCCGCCGCACCAACGGTCAAATCGGGGTGTAAACGGCGAGGCGAGCGACGGTTATGAGTAGTGCGCGGAAGGCCTCGAGTGAAACACGGACGCGGCCGTGCTGCGTCCAAGAGATTAATTGTCGTGTTAAGTGCGATTCGGACTGAGTGTGGCGCTGAGTGTGGAGCGCAGGTTGATAAGGATTAAACAATCAGATGATTAGTGAAAGTGGATTGCGCACCAGAACTGATAAAAAACAACAATAAGACAGGAAATCGTGTGGCCGATGGACTCGTCGTCATATTTCCCGCCCTGGTATAATATAAACAGTGGGCAGTTTACTGGACGGACATCCGCGCAAAGTGGAGAAAGGTCGCTGAAAAGACTAGAACTGCCGACGAACATCATCACGCGTCGTGCGTTCTAGTACCCGTGAGACATTATTCGTACCGGCTGGGGTGGACCCCGGCGAATTCATCGCCGTTACGTTGGGGCCAGAGGAGTTGCTCGCCGAAGGAGGGGAGAATTCCCGGCGGACTTCGGGCGCGACCGAAGATTGCCAGGACACCGCCGCCGATGCACGACGGCCCCGCTCGCCTCCAGAGGAAGAAGGTGGTTTTTGAAACATCAAGTTAGCGTTGACCGGGCACTTGTTTCCAAGGCCTGCGCATTGCGATTTGTACTATTTGTAAAGTGTGTTCTCTGATCATTAAAATATTTAAATGGTACAAAAGAATTTATAAAGATCATCTTTCTTTGCTGCGCCAAATACCTGGAGACCCATTCACGAAAATGCTAACTGTCCCTGCATAATTTATTTGTCGTGAAAGTACCGCTTCCCAGGTACGTCACAATATATATATATATACACATAATCATAAACATAATCTTCCCGTCATTATTACGGCGGCAAGGATGTTTGTTATACTTCGTGCTTAGGTCGCTTATAATCTTCCGATCCTTTCCTGACCCACGTATCCCGGGCTCCGTAAACCTCCCATTTTCTTCAAGCTACCAGTACATTCCGCCCCGCGGACTTTCTATAATTACATTTTTACAATGCAGTAATGAGACTCTCCTCCTTCCCGGTTCCTAGAGGAGATCCATTGGCTCTTCCAAGTCAGTTGGAATGTTATATGTATTGCCGATATACCCCTTAACTGCAACTAGGCTGCGTTTAGTCGATTCTGGGGAAGTACCTAAGTCTAGTATTGAAAGAAAAGGAATAATATCGGCGATATACGGCGGGCAGAGAGTCCCCTCCACTCTACAATACTCTACATCCATGCCTTACGCGAGATTCGAACTCACATCCCGAACGTGACGCAAAGATCGGCGCAAGTGCCTCAAGACCCTTCTTCATCCATGCCGACCAGGAATGGAAGGATGAGGGTTGGAAGAGTATACAAGGTAATTGAGAGAGCTCTACCATTCCAAACCGAGTGAAGCGGCTGAGGGCGTTGCGCGCTGACTTCGCATTTGGGACGTCCGGGTGCAATGCCCGTCCCGAGCATCCCTATCGGGGTTTTCGTGGTTTCCCTCGGTTTTCCAGAGGAGTGCTGGAATGGTTCTGCTGAAAGGCCACGACCGAGAAACCGTAAAGTCGTACGAAAAGTCACGAAGATGAGTGAATTCGAGTCACGGTGGGTTCCTGGTTGGGTGACCGACTAGGAATCCCGGGATCTAACGGCGCCGAGGCCAATTGCCCTTTACGGGACATTAATTGGCCAAATATACTTCACCATACATTCATACCCAGGCGGAACTCGATTTGTCGACCCTTCGAGACGGCCACGGCGCACCCATTATGACGATCGCGGCTACACATGGTTGTCTCTTGCACCGTTTATATGAGAGTTTGGGAAATTCGATTACGTGCAATCATCTCGAAACAAGTACGCGTGCTGAAGTGACGTATGAGTGCTTTGGAGTAACCTTGAGCGACTCGGCCCAGGAGGGCTTGGGGCATGGCGCTGCAGTGTCCCCGATCACCGGATGCAGCTTCCGCTGGAACAGGATGAGCACGCAGTCCATGATGCGCATGATGAGGTGCGGCGGCCGCCCCAACTTCCGCACCGTCGCTGAAACACACGAACACAGCGCTAAGTGTAAGGGACAGGGGCGTCGAGGGGCACATAGTGATGAAAATCCCCTGGGCCAAGAGTGGTTTCTCCGATCGACACCAGACGAATGCTGGAGCAGTACCCCAACAAACGGGCTAGGGATCGCGCGCGATCTTTCCTTCCTCTTCCTGATCCTCTCCCTTACTTCCATACACATTCACACGCACTGTACTACCACATATGTCGGGAGCTTACAGCTTCTCCCTACAGGCGGTGTCTACTTGTGTGATATACCTGGTGGGGGAATCTCCCCCAAAACGAAGTGTAGGTGGATCCGTAACACACCATCTAGTGAGGCAAGAACACCAACACCACCATCCACGATAAAAACACGCACCTCATTTAGGAGACTAATCATCATAGCAGTGGCGAGCCTGGCAACGCGAAATTAATCAATTATTCAATCAATCGAATAACATACTTTCAGAATTTTTGGGATCTCCGAGACTTGAAGCCGTTGCTAACGACGTGACGAAGCATGGCACAGTTCACCCATTTCACATTTGGCTTTGTTTGGAGTGTTGAGGGGTCTATGACGTCGCTATCTCAGGAAAGCTTGAGATTTAGCCTGGTTGGAAAGAACTTTTCCTTCATTTTTCTACATTTAATAAAACAAATTCTTAATTTTTGAAGCTAAAAACAAGGTTTGGTGAGAGAAGTATATTTTGTAACGTATTATACTTGATTTTAATTTCACTAGTTTAAGAAATGAATTTGAGAAAAGAAACTAAATTAAAAATATAAATAAAGAAGTTATTACGTATACATTATTACAATAACTTTTTCATCAATAATATATGAATTTCATCTGTTAGATTACGAAGAAAATATTAAAAATTTATCTACGGCATATTCTAGAACCCAATTAAATTGGCGCAAAAGACTATCGCTCGTGCGTCATCCACAATGGCTTGTGCAAAGGTCGTCAGAAATTTTCTCGTTGCTACATCTTTCCTCCACTCAAAAATTGTTCTAATCTTATTGTTAGGTGCAGTCAGCATCGCCACGTAATTCGGGTAATAATTATCATAGTTTTCAATAATATCAGAATTAAAATTAATGCAATTTTTAAAACTCTGATGTAATATATTATTACTTTTTGCAAATGTGAGTGAGTTGTTACAAGAGTCACGTCAATACTTAATAAGGGGTTGAAGCGCGCGTTACGGATGCAATGCGTAGGCGGGGGAGGGGATATTCCAAGTTCCGTAGTTTCGTAGTTTCCGGCCTGCCCCATGGGTTGTGCTACGCGAACGGCCCACCTATGTGCGCGGGCTTGATGGTGTTGAGCGCGGCCTCGGCCTCCTCGAGCGCCGGCTTGGCCGCCTCCAGCTTCTGCTCGGCGCGCGCCTTCTCCTCGGTGATGTACGTCACCAGCGCCTCGGCCTTCTCCTTCACCTTCTGCACCTGGTCCTTGACCGTCTCCGCCTGCTGCGCGCGCGCCGTCACCTCCGTCAGCACCTGCGCACACGCGCCAACGCCGCTGCGTCCGTCTCTCACATTTTTATGGGCAGGAAACCACGTTACTGAAATTATTCAAGCCATTGATGACCACAGCCATTTGATTTACTTGCGTAAAATCAAATTGTACATATTCTCCAAGTCTCATGAAATGAGAGAGGTTCGCAAATTCTGGAACCATTCAACCACTGTGCACTGCGGACACAGATTTAAATTATGTCGTAGGCTTCCGCGGCCAGAGTCATGATCTGTGCTGTCCGGGGGACGCCGCGTCGATGACTGAGGTGCCGAAGTTTCGACCGACATATAGCAGTCCTCGCGATCCTCATATCGCAGTACTGCCCTGAAGAGGACCGCGATATATCGGTCGAAACGTCGGCACCTCAGCCATCGACGCGGCGTCACCCGGACAGCCCAGATCACATATTTAATTTTGTTTTCGAAAATGAGGTAATTGAAATGTTTTGTATTTAACAATATCCGTACACGTATGTTGCAATGAAACATTACAGGGAATTCTGCTACGCACGTTGACTTATAAACATTACGTACCACATAATTTATAAACGACGAGATGATTTTGTGAAAGGATACAAATGAATATATTGCTAGACATTCACTAGTCTTTACATTTAATTACAATTCGCACAACAAAAAGTTCAAGGATAACTATATTCCAAATAGACAGTATAGTTTATTTTGATCGTTATAATGACAAATGAGTACATTTTAGCGTTGATTGTATTAATTTCAAGGTATTATTAAAATTTTACTTTCAAACCTTAAAATATGTTGATAAGAAAGGGTCTAGGAAACACCATCTTTATTTAAAAGCCAAAATCTCGAATTTCGGTTGAGTAAATTTTTAAATTTCTTATTACACCAAACCCCTTAGAGCTTTAAATATATAGAAAATTAAAACGGTGGCAAATGTCAATAATTATTTGCAATATTAAATTTATAAACATGCCCTTTCGAAATCTACCACCCAACCATTCTCTTTCTCTCGGCAAGCTTCCCGCATCTCACCGTCCGTTTCCCTGCTGTGCTGGTCATCACAATTCGATTTAAACGCAATGACACTTCAAGGCCACGAACTGGTTGGAGGAGAGGTTACACTTTAATTCAATCGGGAGCTTTATTTGGACTTACCTTTTTGGTACAGGAACTTCCGATTAGATGACAATGTCCCCCCTCTCCTTCGAGTTCGTAACAAATTTTTACAGGAGCTTCCGACTGAATGACAATGTCTCCCCTCTCCTTCGAGTTCGTAAGCTTGAAGTGTCACTATGTGTAAATCGAAGTATGGCGTGCCGGTAAATTAACATCCAGAATTTCAATTAATACCCAAACCTAAGATTTTAAAATTGTATTGATGAAATTGCTACTGTAAAACAAAAACAGAAACACATGTACCAGAATAAGGATTGTAAACCCAACTACAAGGCAACCCTCGTAGAGTTTAACAACCTTGTATTAGGAGGCCAAGTGCGCTTTAAGGGTCATTTAACGGCAAAACATAAAGCAAACGAAAGGGTTGGCGACTCACGCGCTCGGCCTTGGTGGAGGCGTAGGCGAGCTCCTGCTCCATGACGGCCAGGTCCTTCTTGAGCAGCTCCACCGAGTGCGACGCTTCGTCCAGCTTGGCCAGGCCCGTGTCCATGCGGCGCGCGCCCTCGCCCAGCTCGCGCTGCTTCTGCTGGTAGATGCTCTTGTAGCCCGCGATGAAGTTGAGGTAGCTCTTGGGCGTCACGTGCGTGGCGCGGCGGAACCTGGACGAGGCACGTGCGTACATCGATTGATTGATTGGTTGATCGACTGATTGATTAGTGTTCCCAGGATGCTATGCTCATGTGCTATCTCATGTGCTATGCTCATGTGCTATGCTCATTGTTGCCCTGTGATGCTCATTGCTAGTCATGCTATCATGTGCCTATGCTCATGTGCTATGCTCATGTCCTATTGCTCATGTCTATGCTCATGTGCTATGCTCATGTCTATGCTCATGTCTATGCTCATGTCTTATGCTCATGTGCTATGCTCATGTCTATGCTCATGACTATGCTCATGTGCTATGTCATGACTATGCTCATGTGCTATGGCTCATGTGCTATGCTCATGTCTATGCTCATGGCTATGCTCATGTGTCTATGCTCATGCCATGCTATGCCATGTCATGACATGCTCATGCCATGCTCCATGCTCATGACCGATGCATGACATGCTCATGGCATGTCATGCTAGCTCATGTCATGCTCATGTCTATGCTCATGTGCTATGCTCATGTCTATGCTCATGTCTATGCTCATGTGCTATGCTCATGCTATGTCATGTCTATGCTCCATGTCTATGCTCATTCTATGCTCATTCTATGCTCATGATCTATGCTCATGTCTATGCTCAGTGCTATGCTCATTGCTATGCTCAGTGCTATGCTCATGTCTATCTATCATGCTCATGTCTATGCTCATGTGCTATGCTCATGTGCTATGCTCATGTGCTATGCTCATGATGTCTATGCTCATAAGTCTATGCTCATGTCTATGCTCATGTCGTATGCCTCATGTCTATGCTCATGTCTATGCTCATGTCTCTATGCTCATGTGCTATGCTCATGTCTTATGCTCATGTCTACTCATGTCTATGCTCATGTCTATCTCATGTCATGCTATGTCTATGCTCATGTCTATTGCTCATGTCTATGCTCATGTCTATTGCTCATTGTCTCATGCACATGTCTATGCACATGTCTATGCAATGCTATCTCATGCTTGCTCATGTGCTTGCTCATGTCTATGCTCATGTCTCACAGGCGAAAAACTTCTAAGATCATGTATAATGCATGTTTTTGTTATCGCGGGGTAAAGGAAGGTGATCGTCGGGAGATGGGTGTCGAGATCTGATGCCGACCTGCACGTCGGCTTGCTACAGAAACTCCGACTGGTCTCTCGACATGTTTTTTAATGTAGTGCGTGCAAGTGTGTCTACAAGGAGTGACTGCAGGTCAACGAAGTGGAAGGAAACACCACGCTTGGGCCGTGGACCGTTTGTTAGGATACTGCTCCAGCATTCGCCTGGTTTGATAGGGAAACCCTGGACAACTATCTATCAGTGCAGCTGGACGAAAGAATTCTTCTCCAAGCAGCGTCTGAAATCGACCTAGTTAGTCTAAAAAGCGGTCACTAGCAGAACTTGAACCACAGGTCCTACAGTTTGAGGAATATTGATGCCACTACAATGACATCAGTTGACGCCCAACTAAGCCGGTGTGTGAACATGAAAATTACTCCGAGAACAGTATGTAATGGAATTATGATGTAATGATGGGGGGGGCGGTATTAAACACGAATGTAAAGATATATCACAATTCAAACGAGGAACGAATGAATATTGTAAACTTCATACAAGCGAAACCCGTTACACCGAGTTACGGTACTTTTTCTACGATTTCTACGATAGCTATTATAAATTTAACTTTTACATTGGATGATGTCGTGGCAGTTTAGAGTCCCTAGATACATGTTAAATTATTAACAATGAGAGAATTATTGAAGTATAAAAAACACCATAGTGTAGTGTAGCGATATCGCTCTTTTATTCTACTAACATTCTACTTTCGGAAATATTGTCAGTTACATCCTTATTCCTGACAGCACTTGAATTTACAGCACTTTTCTGGATACACTTTTCTCTTGTTTTGAAATTTTGTTTGCGTTTCTTTCTCTGGATCTTTTTTTATTGTTATTCCTCCCCTTATACACTACTTACACGTCCAATCACCACACTGCCACACAGGCCGGGAGGTCAATTTGTTCTGAGTGGTGAGGTGTCCTCTTGAGTGTGATAACTGGAAAGGGCGGACCGACCTAGCCAGCCGACACTCACGTTTTACCGAGGAAGGAACACCGCCAACTCTCAGGATGTAACGCGCAATGCACCCACGACACTTGACGCGCACGAAATCTATACTAATTCTGCCACTCACCCTGTTACGTACAAAATAGCTCATGGGTATTTTATTCATATCGTGTACAAACGAGCGTGGAAAATGGAAATGGCGCCGGTCGTACCTCTGGAAGTACTCCGTGCTGGTGGTGGAGACGACGTCCTGGATGGAGCCCAGCGCGTTCACCAGCTCCTCCTTCACCTGCTCCGTGCACGCGATTTCGAAGTCGGCCAGGAAGTGGCGCGCCACCAGCACCAGCGCGTCGCGCGGCCACGGCTGGAACCAGTCGATGGTGCAGCCCGACACCAGTGCCGGGAAGCGCATCGCTCGGTTGCGGAATTTCTCGCCCACCTGCAACACCAACCGGTCTCCTCGCAGCCCATCACTCGGTGAGCACATTCTGAAAACATCCACGGGTCGAACTAACCCCACCAACCAGGTTGAAAGGTTACATCGAATTGTCATAGTCCATATTCTAAACTAGTGCATCTACGCAAAATATTGACGGCGCGCAGTAAAGATTTGATCGAAGACACAATATTTGGTTTTTAAACTAGAGAGATACTTAATGATTTGGAACTTTGTATATTTCTTTATCTGTTTTTTACAAAAAATCAAAATACTAAATTTTGGAATGAAGTTGTAATGTACCAAAAACTAAAAAAAGATTCATATCGTCTTCAGTAGTATACATAACTTTTGCAGCTTTCACACGTTACCGATATTTACAAATAAGGTCTATAAAGAAAGAGAATTTCATGGAGACGTGATGAATTGCACTTTGAGTTTTCTGTATCGATATTTCTGAAATAGTTATGAAATTGGTAAGAAATATGGTTAGCACCACCAAAGAAAACTAAGTCCTTCTTGGCCTCAGTTATGCCAGATGGTTTCTTATAAGTCTTTGGCAAATTCAAGTACCCTGTCTAAAGGATGACCTCTGCTGCGTTGCCTAGTGTTGATCTGCTGGAACTCTTCACCATAAACAGTTTTATATTCCAGAATAAATGGTGCAACTTTCCTTGCTTACATCACACTTTTTTGCAGCTTTGTCAGTCCATACAACGTTTTCTCAATGTACATTATTTTCGAAGGTGTTACCCATTTGACTAGCTAAACGTTTCAAGTCAATAAATCATCTGTTGTCATGTGCGTAAGTTTGTCTGGATTTCCAATCTTCCGAACAGTTTGTATGATTATATGCACACGATGTGTATTAGAAGAAAACATCCAAAATTAAGATGTGGCAATCTTCTACTATTTGAATAGTTCAGGAAAACTGAATTACTTGCAGAAGAATGGTCGTCTCAACGAGTTGATCCGTGGCATTTTTTCAGGACACGGACTTCATTAACAGGCACTTAAGCTACCAAACAATTCAAAATTCATTTTTTAGGACTTCAACTGGCAGTCTTCCACTGGGGGTGCGATATGCAAATTCTGAGAAAATTTGACTTGAAAATAATGCTTAGACGTTTCCAGTGGAGAGTTTATGTTGGGGAGGGGAGGCGGTAAATTCGGAAAATGAGGAGATCTTGCATGCTGAAGTTTGGATTTATCTAAGATTGACGGCATTAACGAAAGAAAACAAAATATAAAAAATAGAACTTTAAATCTTGTGTTGGGTATGTAATGTTTTCAAACGAACCTTAAATGAATTTTACACGAGCTCATCATATTGGTTGGTTTTAACCCCTATTTTGAGACCTTTGTACGACGATCGCGTTTACTCACGGGCGAGAAGCAGAAGACGACGTGCAGGTTCTGGCAGGTGCGAGTGAGAAAGAATTCCATGACAAGCTCTTGGGTGAGCGTGCGTTTTGGATTCTCGCGTTTCATCACAGGTGTCAACTCCGAAATGATTTCGGCCTGTTCATCGCGGGTGAACAGATTTGAGATCACTCCTGTGAAATAAGAGGAAACAGATTACAATTATCTGTGAAAAAGAAATGCCCAAATAAAACACTAAATTAATGCAAGGGAGTCTTCGTTTTACATAAAAAATACAATTTTTTAAATATGAATATGAATTTTCATGAAAACTGAGTAAATGGTAGGAAATGAGATTTAACTAACGATCAATTTTTTTTTGCATTCTCATGAATCTAACAAAGTTAATTGCTTTGAGAAACTAAACTACCCAATAACATAAATATGAAGAAATAAACTTATTCAAATCAAATGATATACATATTACAGTTATTGGATTGGAAATTATTCCAAAAGTCGTGAAGAAATCATAGTTTTATCCTAATAATTCACCGCAAAGTTTATGAAGAATTAACATTTTAATGAAATGCATTTGAGATGTAAATGATTAGTAAATTCATTAAAGTATTGTTTTACCTACCGGAGGAAAGGATGTTGTTGAGGTATTCGAGGAAGCCCTCTTCCTTGATGTCAAGGTCGGTAAAGATGAAAGTGGTGCCTTTGCCCTGGGCACCACATGTTCGGTACAAGAGCTTCAAGTCCTCAAGGAAATTTGCAACATTGTAGGACCTAGGAGAATTTAATATATTTATTAACGGCACATACTCCGATATGAATTTCAACGCCACACAATGCCAACATACACAATGCAACATTAGATGATAATTCTTTCCGTATCATAAATTGAAATATTGTTCACATTGTTTCTTTCCGATAATCTGAGTTGTTGAAACATTACGTACAACAGAAAGTAAGTTATTTTTTATGAGATATTCGTTTTAATGTGGTATGTTTTGAGAACGAGAAACCACCAGAAATTGTTAAATTAAAGGAAAATGCTTTAAAAATTGAAGAGTAATTGACTTCTGAGAAATTTATAAATGAACAAATAAATACACACGTAGACTCCCTCATTTAAACTTCTGTATTGACATTTTATGTACGTGAAAGTTCAATTTCATCTCTTAGAAACGGAGGTAAGACGATACGCACCTGGTGAGCGTGATCTGGAAGGTCTTGTAGCCTGCGATGAAAGAAGACAACTTGGTGAGCGACTGCTTGCCTGAGCCGCCTACTCCCACCAGCATGACATTGCCGCGAGGGTGCCGAATTACACGAGAGATCTGAGAAAATAAACATAGCTCTATGACACAATTGTAAACATAAGTCGCGATAATCTTATTTAGACTAGAAATGGATGACCTAGAATATTTTTCTTTACCTATTAACCTTGAAGAATGTACAAGGCTACTAACTGTACATGATATAATCAAATTCTATTGCTGAATGAAATAGATACGAAAATCGTGAAGAATCAAACGTAATTGAATAAACAAAGCTATATAAAAGTCTATTAAAATAAGCTTTTACGAAAATATTTAACTACAAGTTTCTACGTAAAGAACGTTGCTCGTATTACTATTGTATAGAAAGAAAAAGAAAATAATATTGGTAGATGGCAAGTTGACAATCCTAATATTGTATCGAAAACAGATGTCTTTATGAAAGGACAGCGCATGGAAGTGATTCTTGCATTAATCTGTCAGATTAGAAGCTTTTGAGCTCAAACCTGGTACATATGTCGCGAGTTAAAGTTGTGTCAATACAAGGATCATTAAAATATTTTAATTTTAGGGGAGATATTTGAATTTCTAGATAAAGTCTCTACGGTATTTTGAAACATTCCTGAAAAACAGCTGTAATTTTTTCCTTTCAATATTCTTAAATAGAGCAAAATGCATTTATAATTGAGAAACAGTACTGGCTACATTAACAAGTTTGAAATTTTGATTCTTGCAATAGTTTGAATATTTTTGTACCTCTTCTAAACCTCACATATTAAACCCAAAGATTTCTTTCTCAATGCACATTATCCCTCGACTTTAGAACTTTAAATGTTAGTACATTTAAAAAATATGAATAGTTATTGAGTAATAACACTAAGACAAGCAAAACTTTAGGTATGCTTCAAGTTTCAACTAGGGATGCGACACTGATAATGTTTTGAAAACATGGATATATTAAAATTTTTAGCACCTATATTTTATGTTTATTGTATTAAAGTTTACGATGTTTCTTTTATGAATGAATAATACCCATAATCCTAAATTTGTAAAAAATTAAAAATAAATAACTGAGGCCATCATTGTCAGTTTGTGTTCGAACCAAATGGACCTTGTTAGCACTATGTTCATCAAGCGTCCATCGTTTTTATTATTTTTTACTTTCTATTTTGTTAAATCTGGCTTATAAATAAATAAACATGGCTATTGTCAAGTCAAACTTTGTTGAACCCGCGTTTAATGTTAGATATTACTTAACCGCATTAAGACATCGATGGTTTTCGGTTGATGCATCGATTGCTTAGTTTTGAGTATCGATGTGGACTCCCACTAGTTTGAGAAGTTGGTATTGGGCTGGGATGTACCTTGACGAGGTGGAACATGGCGTCGGGGAAGAAGACGAGGTCCATGCCGGCGCCGCGCACCATCTCGTTGAACTGCGCCAGGAACATGTCGAGCCGCTCGCGCAGCTCCCGCAGGTCGGGCACGGGCTCGTACACCTTGGGCAGCTCCATGTCCGCGTCTTCGCCCTCCTCGCCCGTCGGCTCGGGCGCGTCCCTGGGCGCAGCGCACACAGCGCGTCACACCAGTCTTTAGTCCCGGGTAATACGCAACCCGACAGCACTAGTACCTACCACAAGGAAGTGTCATCGGACCACTCATGTTTCTGGCCTTCGTGAATGAATTGCCGACTAATTTACCTTCAAATGTACGACTCTTTGCAGATGACTACGTAATTTATAGGATTATCAACTCGGAGATGGACGAGGATATTTTGCAGTGAGACTTAGACAAATTACACATCTGGGCAGAAACAAAAGGCATGGAAATAAACAGTTCCAAGAGCAAGACCATCAGGTTTGGTAGGGGTCGAAGTTACAATGAATCTGCGTACAAACTGAACAATAATGTTATACCTCGAGTCACGTCTTGCAATTACTTAGGAATACAGCCTGACAGTAAATTGAGCTGGGAAAATCAAGTCAATTTCGTTTTAGGGAAAGCCTGGAAATCTTTACATTTTGTTATGCGGATACTGAAAAAGAGTACAGTGAGAGCCAAAAAACTAGCATACATGTCATTAATGCGACCCATATGAGAATATGGCGTGGTATGTTGGGACTCACACAGAATTTTGCAGCAAAGGAATCTAGAAAATGTCCAGCATAGAGCAGGGGTACCATGAATAAAGGGGTATGGGAGGCATTCGGAAGGAGGAGATTAAAGTCACGTCTCTGTGCAATGTAAAGCGTACACGGCCTTCGAGGGTGGAAAGAAATTCAAAGTCGATTAGCGAAACCTACGCAGGGCGCACACACACACACACACACACACACACACACACACACACCACATTATATATATTATAATATATATATATATAATATATATACTATATATATTATATATATACTACGTCGCAAAAGGCTCAGCCTACCGGCGACGATATAACATTGCCCGAATGTTTGTGTGATTTTTATATTTATTTCTCTTTTCTCAGATTCTCTTTTATGTCTTGTTTTATTTTTATGGCACATAGAATTAGAAACGAATACTTTTTTATATGAAAATATAGATACAGAATTAGAATATATATATATAATAATATATAATATATATATATATATATATAAAATAAAATATTTTTGAAGTTATTAGCTGACTTGATGAGCATACCTCATGAAATCGACAAATACTAGGTTAGGTGCAGCCATTTCGCAATAATTAGGGCCGAGCATCTCAGCAACTACACTCAACAGCTCCTGGTCAAACCACGCCTTGTCAGCGGCCAATGTGAATCTGCGCACAAAAAAGAGAGGCAATGAAAATAATAATGAACGAACATAATGTTACACTAACCAAAGTAAGATGCTTTACATATAATAGTTTTGAAATTGGAGCATACGATTCATTGGAGGAACACAACTTTTTTTATTTTGAGCCGTGATTTAATAGCAGTTAAAAATTGAGATAATTACGGAAACATTTAATTTATTGAATTTTAGTCAAACTAATTTTGAATATTTTTACTATTAATAATAATACAATCACAAGACACAATATCAACATTTTAAAATTGGGGAAATTCAATTTTCTCAATGTAAAATATAACAGCATGTGAGAACACGAGTCAAATGTAGGCAAGTGTGGTTAATTACAAAAATTTCAGTATGAGAGAATTTTGTACTTATTTAGGATTGCAAAAATGTTATAATGTCAGTAGAGTTTTAGTGTGTGATAGTTAATTTAAATATGAGTGATGAGAAATTATTGCATGATGCAGAATGAAATACATTATGAAATTTCGATTGTTAGTGTCTTTATACTGCATCTTCAAACCAAACTGATGACTTGTATATCACTTATACAGAATATATGAAAAATCTTTTAGAGTATATGCGAGGGTCGATGATGGTCCCTTCTCATCAACGAAAATGTGATGGAAGTTTCAAAAATCGAAGTTACATAGGTGATATGATTGGTAGGAAAAATCATCGAGTATTGGTGTTTAACCTGCCGTAAGTGAAGCCGCATGGAAGGCTGTGAGTCCGACGTTCCGACCATTTTGCCCTGTCTTCCTCAGGGATGATGTGCGTCGGAGTGGTCAGGAATCGGATTGCTTCCACGCCAAATGGTCGAAATGTCGGCATCGCAGCCTTCGACGCGGCGTCACCCAGACAGCGAAGATCATTTTACGCATGTTATTACTGTGATAAATTACGTGAGAAACGCTAGTGCAAAGTTGAGGAACCAAAGTTTAAATAACAATCAGGAGCAAATGCTAATTGTGTAACTTCGATATTTGATATTTCCTACATTTGCTTTGGCAGAAAGTGATTATCTTCGACCCGGTAAATGACCTAGAAGTTTTTCTAGGATACATGTCTACACAATGTTCTTCTTTGTGTGTATATACGCTCAATGGCATGTGAAGAGTGAGAGAGATATATGTCTCAGGCCACCTATATCAAAATGTATATATTACATGCCACACTGTAGCTATTACCCTCGGAAGAGGAAGAAAAATATGCTGAAAGTGTTAATACAAATCTCCAGAGTACAAGAGCGGACGCACCGGTCGGAGAAGACGCGAGTGCACTCGTGCTTCCAGAGCTCCATGAGCACCTTCTCGCTGTCCACGACGGTGCACAGCGTGCCCACCATGCCCTGCCAGATGCGCGACAGGTCGCGCAGGCTGAACACGTAGTGGAACTTGGCGGGCGTCGGCAGCAGCGCCGCCTGCGAGCATACCAACGCGTGGAGTGCCGCTACCGTAAAACTACGGGAAAACCATGGGATTGAATGGACCATAGTTCCCACGTAGTGGAAGTATGGAGAACGTCACAGAATAAACATTACAAACGTTTAGGTCATGTAGGGTGGGTCCAAATAATTACTTATTGCCAAAGAACATGTGGGAAAATTCGTATATTTAAGTAACACATGTGACATTTACCCCTTATTGATAGGTACATAAGTTCTTATGCGCCGGTGTTTGATAGGTACACAATATCTTTTTGCGTCCGAACGTGACCTGCCGAACGCCAATGAATGAGGCCTTGCGTATCAATCAGGGGCAAATGTAGCATGGTTGTGTGAAATTTTCTACCACATGTTCACTGGCAAAACGTGAACATTTATTCTGAGACACTGTATACATACAGTATCTAATTACATTATGTTGTTGGCCGTGGATTGGTTAGGTGGTTGTTCAATGTTTAGGTTACAGAGGCTGGTGCCAAATTATGGTATACTTGTAATGCTAAAACCACCGCTGACCATCCAGGTAAAATGCCGTATCAGACAACCCATTTAGTATTCGATATTTTTTCAACAAGAACAAGTGAATGCAGAGGGAGAAACGAAATGTTTTTATAAGCGAAGTTCTATTGAAAAAATGTCTAATATTTTCTCCGTTACTACTTAATTCAATTTCACAAATGTTTAAATTAACATGTTTTTATTATTGCCTCCCTCCAAAGCAAGAAATACACGCTGGTGCATTAACGGAATATGAACCGCGTGACCGGCTAAGGTGCCTCAGGGTATCAACTGACGTCACCGAAATGCCTGTCATTGGGAGGGATATCCTAAGGCTCGAATCCCGACGGTGGCAGGATTTTCTACACTAGCTACACAGCTAGGTCGCATTCAGCCACTGTATGGAGGAGAATTCAAGCGGGCAACTGCTGTGATCGATAGTTTTCCGTTGTTTCTCCGACCACCATCAGGCGAATGCCGGAGAAGAACCCTAACAAATGAGCCACGGACAGCCCATGATTTTTCCTTCATTTTCCTTGTCCTATCCTCATCCTAACATACACACACTTACACTTGCACAACAGTACCATACATGACAAGGAGCAGTCGGAAGATTATAATTTGTTCCGACTTGAGCGGTGACATGTTGGTGGGAGATACCTGGTTGGGGAAACCGACGGGAGGGTCAGCGCGGGATCTCATCATCCCGTGTGGGCATATCACTGCTATCTCCCGCTATAAAACACTCGCTCCACTTACAGGACCAATGACCTGAGCAGTTGACTCGCTCAAAATGAGGAATCAAGGAACCGTGCGAGGCAAAGGCGCGGCAGGGCGCGGCAGGGCGCGGCGCGGGCTCACCCTGGTGCGCTGCCAGAGCACGCGCGTGGTGGGGATGAGGCGGCGCACGAGCGCGCGCACCTCCGCCGAGAAGCCGCGCTTGGCGTTGTAGTGGCCCTCGCCCACCACCGAGAAGATCTTGTCGATGCTCGCCTCCGACGGCAGCGTGCAGTTGAACACGCAGAACTGCCGCTTCAGCCGCTCGGGGATGTCGTTGCGCCCGCCGCCTGTGCACGCCCGGGAAGGGTTCATGGACCTTGTGCAATGGCCGGCCGTCGGCAGTCGAACTGCTTAACCACGCTCCGTCGTGTCACAGGGGTTAACAACTCGAGACAGCGAGGTTCCGAGGAAGGGTGATCGTCTTCATGTGATTCAACAGATAACTTCGCAGTCATTAATTGCGTATTTAGTAATTTCCTTGGGTTTCTTTGTATGATAGGGTACTTAATAATTGAGAGAATTTTGAAAAGGAAAGAAATTATTTGTGATATTTATTGCAAAATAACTTATTAATGGTGAATAACAACTGAAGTGCATTTTACGATGTGAAATGTTTAGTTTGATGAGTAGCAAATTAATTTTTATAAGAGCATTTAAATTTAGGTCAACTGGTAACCCAATTAAGCTAGCATTTGATTGAATTATGAGGATATTTTAGGACTAGGGAATAGTTCTATTTCAAAGTAAAAGAAAAGCTTGTTTATTGAATTTGTTGAGTAGAACAGAAATAAAAAGTAAGTTATTTTAAATGAGAGATTTTCTGACACATTTAAAAAGAAAAATGTAATTTAAATTTTGAATTAAAAAAGACAAACAAACTGAAAGACTTTTTGTAGAAATGAAGAAGTATTTATTTATTTAAAAAGTGTTGTTTCTTTTTGAACTGTTGAAGTGTATTTGTGTTTTTGTTTCACTCTTTGAGTGTGTTTCATTTATGGGCTTGTATTTCCGTGTTCTCTATTATTCAATACAAGAAATTTGTTCAGGAATTCTTTTACGTGTAATTTCAAAATCGAGCGAGTTCTCATTTGCCCTGAGTTGCAAAGAAAGAATTCTGGAAGATTTTTCTGCTGGTAGTAATGAAATTAGATCAAGACAAACGGTTGTTTGGATTTTGTTATATTTTTTGTACAATTACCATTTCTCAAATTCAGGGAAGTAAGATAATTGATACGTAACACCCCAGATCCACCGCGCCAGACGTGTGTGAGACCGAAAGGGGGATTAAAAATAGGGTGGAGGTCGCAGTATGCACTATTTATTTAGAAAACAAAAAACAAACTGTGATAATTTGACCCATTGCATGATCAAATTATGTGACCTCGAATAATATTCAAATATGGAACACCTGCATTCAAAATTAATATCATAACAAACTATAATATTTGCTATTTTAATTAAAGTTTTTTTTAATTATACAAAATGTTGTTTGAAATATTGAAGGCCTCTATTCAGCAGAGGCTCTTTTGCATCGGGAAGCTCTAAACATTTGTTTAGTCTTAATTCGGCACAGCGCAAGCCAGAGCATGATATCAGTCTTGAGTATCCATTTACTTGTGGTCGATGTCACTGTTTGAACAGACTTCGGAGTTGAAAATAAATATAGATTACATAGATACAATGGTTGTTGACAGATTGAACGACAGACGAGTATTTTTGATGATGGATCATCATTACCACTACTTAAGGAAATTAGTTATTCATGCAGCCAAAGTTGGAGAATGCGAGTTGGTCTGCATGAAATTTGAAGACGTGGAAGAAAACAGAAAGGGAATCAGTACTGTGAACTAGTCTTGAAAATAGGTATTTATTTCTTACGCCTAAAACATGCACGTGGATTTATTTGCTCGTTTGATACTTTGGCGATTCAATACATCCTTTAAAATCGTTTTGTACTTTGGCATGAAAATGAAATAAGGCAATAAACACTTTCTGTGTAGTTTAGAAACTGAAACTATTAGTATTTCTTACTTGGTAAACAAAATTGCCCTTCCATTCATGTAAAATGTAATTGAACATGCGAACACTAAGAACTAAGAAATCGGTTGAAAATATAGGAAAATTAAACAAAGAGTTAATATTAATTTTCTTAATATTTCTTTTCTTGCTAAATAAAAACACGTGCAGAAAATTTCAGTGAAATAATACACAGGCAGGTGCCATAAAAAAGGTTAAGTGAAAAGACATAAAACATAACATAATGAAAACGACTGTTTCTCTGAAACTTCTTACGTCAAAGTTTATTATAATAATATGATACTAACATTGTAAGTAGTTAGAGATGGATTAACTGACAACCTTCAATGTAATATTTTTATATATTTTATTGAACGATTTTAAGGCTGCAATTACGGATTAATGATAAAAAAAATCGCAAAAATTCACGAGGTAAAATTAAATATTACGAAAAATATTTAGTGATTGCTGTAATACAAGTCTTCATTTATTAAGAAATATGAAACCGTTTGAAATAAATCTGTAATTTTTGAAATGGGCGAGTTGAGTGACGGTAGCGTGCTGCTATTAACTTTGGCAGACTTCGCGCTTATTAACTTGGCTAAGAATACCGACCCTTACCATTTGGTTTCATAAATTTCTGTTTTCTTTGCTAAAAATACTTTTTGAAAAAAATCATTATTTCGCGTGAGGACAATTGTATCATCCGTTATAAACGTAAAAGTTGACTTAGACAAGGATTAAAATCCCGATGCGTGCAAATCGGTTGTACACTACATCTGTAGTTTCTCTCCCTCCCT